GGAACGGAGTTCCGGCTGGCTCCCGAGTTGGCCACTCCCAGCAGGAACTCATTAGCATAATAGGCCACACCCAACAGCAGGAACTCATTAGGATTGGCTACATTAGGGGTGTGTGGCCTAACATGCAAAGGAGTTCCTGCTACAAAAAAAGGCCCTGGGTTTTGACAACAAACAAGGTAAACAGAATAAGAAGCAAAAGGTGGGTGTGGCTGGATAACCACACTTCTGGTAACATGGGGGTGCGGCCTAATGTGCTAATGAGCTGTGCTGTCAGGGGTGTGGACTAATATGCTAATGAGTTCCTGCTGTTGGGTGTGGCCTATTATGCTAATGAGTTCCTGTTGGGCTTTTTCTACAAAAAGAGCCCTGGTTGGTTGGTAACACTACCAGTGACTTTACCCCAAAGAAGTATGTGAACCAGCTCTGAGAGACTGCACTTGAAGTGATCCTCTAGTACTGATTGTGGACTCTCTCCTTGGGGGCTGCACATACGTGGCAGAGGTTGACAGTCACAGTTCTGTGCCAGAGATTGTACCCCGAATTGTACTTGGGGAGAAACTGGGGAGAATGCAGGGGCAGGATCCAAAGAACTGTGCAGCCCACTCAGTAAATTCAAGGCATCTATGGGTTGGGGCTTTTGTGTTTCTCAAATGGAAACTCTCCCCCCTCCCACATAGCAACTTGTACTTTAAACAGAGATGTATTCAGATGTCATTTGCAATACACTGGGTGTGTGTGTGTGTGTTAAGAGTTTTCTCTGTAGATGCGCATCCAGAATGGCTCTCTGCAAACTAGCCAAGTATGTAGAGTATTCGAATTAAGCACATACGTATTTATTTGCCATTTATATGCCATTTTGATGGTCAGGGTACAAAGAGCTACACGGGGCACTGGAGCCCCATCCCCAGTGTCTTCTGTTTTCCCTGACATGGCCAGTATGCTCCAAAGCAAGAGTCTTAAGGGCTAGATACTTGTGGGAAAAAATACCTAAAGCTGTCAGAAAGATGCTCAGGGTACACAGTTCCTTGTCTAGACTGATTTGTGCGCTAGACCATGTTGTGACAACTCTACTGATGCTTCTCAAAAAAAGAAAAGAAAAGAAAGACGTGCTCTAATAATAGCTGATTCAAAAGGCGGCTCAGTGATTGCGTCTGCTAACGAGGCCGTCAATCTCACTTTGAAGAGAATCTTCCTGTATGGGACAGTAAATCTGTTGATAAATTTATATACCACCTCCTTGCATTAATGATCTGTTGCGGGGAGGTAGCTGTAAATCTCAGGAGCTGTTTGACACCGCTCCCCCCCCCCAATCTCCCCAGTGGCTTAATAAAATCCATATATATTGACCTGGCCCCTAAATGCTTTTGTTAGAAGCCAATTGACAAACACACATCAAAGCAGCCGTAAAAGGGCTCTTTGGGTAAAATTAAACTCTTTCTCGGCTCCTGCAAATCCACAGACTCTTGACCTGAGATCAGAGCAGTGGTTATTTTTCCTTTCTCCGCTGTCTTCCTGCACGCTCTTGTCTCTCTCAGTAAGTGTTCAGGGCTTTAAAAATGTGAGGCTTGAATCCTGCAGGCCTTTTTCCAAAGGGGAATTTTCCATGAATGTGGCTCAGTTCTTCTGCAGGAAGCATTGCGGGAATCTGCCCGTGCAGTGTTGTAGCCAACCAGGGGGCAGGTCGCTCTTGGTTGCCAATTTTGGGTTGGGAAATTCCTGGAGATTTGGGGGTGGAGTCTGGGGAGGGAGCTCAGCAGAGTTGCCAACCTCCAGGTGAGGCCTGGAGATCTCCCATAGTCAGGGCTCTTTTTGTAGAAAAAGCCCAGCAGGAACTCATTAGCATAATAGGCCACACCGAACAGCAGGAACTCATTAGCATATTGGGCCACACCCATGACACCACAGCTCATTAGCACATTAGGCCGCACCCACATGTTACCAGAAGTATGGTCATCCAGCCACACCCACCTTTTGCTTCTTATTCTCTTTACTTTGTTTGTTGACAAAACCCAGGGCTTTGTTTTTGGAGCAGGAACTCCTTTGCATGTTAGGCCACACACCCCTAATGTAGCCAATCCTAATGAGTTTCTGCTGTTGGGTGTGGCCTATTATGCTGATGAGTTCCTGCTGGGTGTGGCCAACTTGGGAGCCAGCCGGAACTCCGTTCCTGTGCGTTCCTGCCCCCAAATAGCCCTGATCCAT